TCTTGTGCCCACGAGTCCAAGAGGAAGAGACTTGTGCCTCGGGGTAGGATGGCATGCTTCGAAGGGAAGTTCTGACGGCTGTGGATGAGGAAATTCAAGTGTTGCAAAGACTGATCACATGATGATTCTGATCTCCCAATTGCTCATTGAAGAAGACGACAGGGTCTGGGGCAATGTGTTGATGGAGTTCTGGCGGCGTTGATGAAGAAGATCCAAGTGTTGCAAGGGCTGATCACATGATGATTGTGATCCCCCATTTTTTGGAGAAGACAGGGCGAGGTGTTGATGGTGTTGGTCCATGTCGAAAAAGCAGAAGACGCGACATGGAGTGAACGAACTCAACTGAAGACGTGCAAGGACCGAACAGTGGGGAAATGGGCTCCGTGTGTACATGACATAGAGAAGATCTGACTTACGAGAGCAGGCCAAAGAGGTGTTACTGATGTTGAGGTGTAACTGATGTTGAAGAAAAAGAGGAAAAGTTCATCCCGACTCCGAGCAGTAGCTGCCAACCTGAGCCAGAGCGTGTTGAGTTCTTGCTCTCGTCAAGTTTATCTCGCGATGTTCCACTTGCAGTGGCCTGGTGGTTTCCTGTTGGCAGTCACAAACTGAAGTCTGCAGAAAACGGAAGTTGCGCCTTAAGAGTGACCTGTTTGGTACCTCTCCATGTGCCTCTATTGACCGCTTCAGCAGTACCAACCCAGAAGAAAAGTCAGTGTCTGGTTTCCTTAATTGCTTTTGAGGCAAGTCCGGCAGTAAATGAGGGCGGTGGACCTCCATCCGAGTTCTCTGACTTAGTTTTGATCTTTTCAGCAATGGAGTGTCGAGAATTTCCACCTGGCAACATGAAGGCGTCGAAGGCGTCCGGAGTCCGGAAACCTTCCCCCCTCTTCTTTTTCGAGAAGTCCTCGTCGTTGTACTTGTCAGCACCTGCTCACTTCCCCTTCCCCGATTGCCCTACTGAAAGTGTTGTTTCCTTGAGGTTCCCTTCCCCTACCTTCCTCTATCCCTCCTTCCTCCCTTCTTAACCTGCTATCTTCCCTCCTGCCCTTCCCTGCCGATACCGGGTTTGATGCATTCCGTTGGGGTGGCCTGACGACGGTCGAGGACTTGTGGCTCGTGACAGGTACGTTTCGCCCTTGGCAGATCAGACAGGACCTCGTCGTCATTCTGATCCAAGTATCGCGCCGCCGAGGAAATGTCATCGCGATTCCGATTGGCATACCGGGGGCGGGGAACGCTTCACGACGGGAGAGTGGGTATTGCAGAGCGCCTAGGGACCGTTTGCCGTGAGCCTTGAGATCACCCTCTACCGGTGCCTCCTCCTCCCGTCAACATCTTACGAGTTGGAGAACACGTGGGATTGAGCCCCCCAAGGAGATAAAGACGATGTTTGAAGAAGGAATGACAGACCCTGACATCCACAACTAGGTATGTTGTTGCGCATGGCGCTTGCCCAAAAGCCCAAGAGTGACAGAACAGATGAAGGAGTGGAGGAGGGGTTGAGTGCCAGTTGGAATGAGCACAGGTTGATTCCTGCTGGTTTTTCCGTTGACTTCCACTTGGTTGCCAGTTTGACATGAAGTTGCTGTCAATGAGGAAAAAAGGAAAGCAAGTACCGCACTGTACCTCAAAGCAAGGTATCGGACGCGTCACGATCGAACATTGAAAAAAGATGGAGAAGGATAGAAAAAGATGGGGCCACCCGGGGATTGAACCCCGGGACCTCTCGCAAGAATGCTCAGGATTGAACCCTAAGCGAGAATCATACCACTAGACCAGCGGCCCATTGATTTGTGAAATCCCATAGTCAGAATAGGCTCTCAGATACCTCCAGCCAGTGACCTGTTCAGTCTCACGTGAGTGTTGTGTGACGCTGCAAACCATAACATGGAGCTATGCAGGAAATCTCAAAAGGTCGCTACGTGATTGCTGTTGCTGTAAAAAGAAATTCCGGACAGTGTTAGTCGCCATTGGCTGTATGTAGCCTGCAGACGCCAGACGGGGAAGCGGGACGAATGCACGTGCTCAGGCACCCAGGGTCCGTCTGAATGGGGGCAACAGAGGTTGGGTGCCTGCCAAGCCAGCTGAGATGAGATGGGACGGCGACCCCTGCTGTGCCGGCGGTACCTGCTTTGCACGACACGCCACCAGCAAGCCACCGAATGTCAAGGGTCGACATGTGCGACGGGATCTGCTGATTAGCTACCCCTTTCCCAATTTTTTTTATCTTTTCTTTCATCCGCGTGTAGGCGCACGTTTCTGTTGTTTACATCCGCTGCATGCATCGGACGGATCTGGCAAGATGGACGCAGCTTTGGAGATTCTCGATCCTATTGTGCTGGACAGACTTTACGCATACCTGTTGCCAGCTGCCACGACTCCCACGGCCGACGGCGGCGTGCTAAGCAATGGCTTCGGCAACAACACGTCTGGATTTTCAAAATCACCATCGCAGACTTCAAGTTTGTACGAGTCGGCATGGCCACGGGACAACATCCTTCGACAATGCGCTTCCATCCTGTTGATCACCCAGGTTGGTGCTACGCTCCTGTACTGGGTGTTCAGCGCCTTCTCGTACTACTTCATTTTCGACCGCCGTCTGGAGTACCACCCGCGCTTCCTCAAGAACCAGATTCGCCAGGAGATCATGTCGTCCATGACCGCCGTCCCTTGGATCAACATCATGACCCTGCCGTTTTTCCTGGCCGAGGTGCGCGGCAAGAGCTTGCTCTACACCCGCGTGGATGACTATGGCTGGGCATGGATGGGCATCTCGACGGTGCTCTTCATGATCTGGAATGATTTCATGATTTACTGGATCCATCGACTTGAGCACCACCCCAGTGTCTACAAGTACATTCACAAGCCGCACCACAAGTGGATTGGTAAGCGCGGACATTCTGCACGGTATCCCAGTATTGTCCAGCTAACACGACATAGTGCCGACGCCGTGGGCAGCCCTGGCTTTCCACCCACTGGATGGATACGTTCAATCCCTCCCTTACCAGTGAGTTCCTTGCCTCCCCCTGGGCTTCATTATGGGCGATGTTTTAACACGGTGATAGCGTGTTTGTCTTCTTCTGCCCGGTGCAAAAGTACTTGTACATGGTTCTTTTCATTCTGGTGCAAGTTTGGACGATTTTCATCCACGATGGTGACATGATCTCAGGCCACTGGCTTGAGAAGTACATCAACAGCCCGGCCCACCACACGTTGCATCACATGTACTTCACCGTCAACTATGGGCAGTACTTTACATGGGCGGACAATTACTTCCAGTCCCATCGGGCGCCTTGTCCCGATTTGGATCCGCTTCATGACGCGCTCAAAGTCATGAGAGAGAAGGGGCTGGTAGACGAAAAGGGAAACCCAATTCCCCAGAAGAATAAAAAGGACGAGTAGATATGGTGCGACGGATCACGGAAGACGAGGAAGATCAGTAACGGATGAGGTTGTACATGCGATTGATGTCTTGTAATAATGGAGAGTACTCACGTGCTAGGGAACGCCTGTCGCCCTTACACCAAACATATAGACTTCACTGCTACTATTGGAGCTAACTAACTATAATATTTAAACACTATTACACCGGAGGTATTTTGCCTTGACTCTACCTATGTATCAGCCATGTCTCATCTGCTGTGCTTTATTATGAATCCCGTCATATACCTTTACCGCCGGAGGGAGACCTTGCGCTTATCGCCGAGGATTGGAAAAGAGGATTACCGGCCCACTAACAATCTTGTGTCAAATCTTCATCCAGCTCTGTTAGCGCATCCCGCTTACTAAGCCTCGGGATCGTCCAGTGTTTGTAGGTAGTAGCCAGAAGCTGCAGGCGCAGGCAGCAGCACCTGCACAGTAACGGCATCCCCACTTCATCCATTCAACTACCTAATCAACACCGTCGTAAAAACATCCAGACGACCCCAGGGATCCTTCATGGGGCTCAAGTAACAAACAGCAGCATCCTGCACGTCTCCGGCCATGCCGCGACAACTGCCGTGGAAAGTTGACCCAACCCAAAGAAAGTCCAGCGGGAGAAGCGTTGGCGTGAGGGGTGCGACAGGTCAATCGTCATCTACCTCTGCTCTCACCCGAGAACCTAGCGCATCCTCATCTTTGGTTCGCGCCGCGCAACCATCCAGTAAGGCGAAGTTGAAGTCGAGTACGACGGGCGCAGATGGGCTTGGTATTGTACCTAGCAAAACAGCACGGGGCTCAGACACAAACCGTCGTCCCCCTCGATCCCCCTCCCCGTCGACTTCGCCGCCACCCCAGCCTTTGAGAGAGGAGTGTATGATCGAAGGCCCCCGCTACGATGATAGGTATCGCATGGTGGAGGACGAGTTTCTCGCAGTGGCCGGCGAGTTCACCCGGCATTTGCACGCCGCCGAGTACCAGCGTCTGAAGAATCTTGCCAGCTCCAAGAATGCCGAGACGATTGATGACATCTCACGCCCTGTCACTGGCGCACCGACAGATGCCGTGAGACGAAGGCATGCTAAACTTGAGACGGCCGCCAAACAACAGAGAGGATTGACCAAGATATTGGGGAAACGGGTTGACCACGACTCGGACTTTGGAGACAAGCCGTGGACAGGCACCTCGCTCCAGGGCCTGATGGACAGCCCCAGGAAGAAGAAGGTCCCATTACATCGCTCGTTGAGTTCCTTGAGCGCTTCGGCCTCTGGATTCCGAGCTGCAAGACGTTCGAGTCCGTCGCTGGATCGGGCTATACATATGCAAGGGCGACCAGGCAAGCGAAGGCTACCAAATGAGGACGAGACCGATGACAACGGAGATGACGACTCGGCTTTGGATGCGCATACGACATGGTCCCCAAAGCTCCATAGGGCTCGAGCCACCGACATATCGTCGGTCTCAACGCTGTCTGCCTGGAATACCACCGAAAGTAGGCCGCCTCAGATATCGGCGCATGCTTCGCGTGCCTTCAGGGATAAAGGAACGCAGTCAACTAGGTTTTCTCGTCCCATCGCTCATTCTCCAAAACAGACCAGCGCGCTCAACAAGTATCCTAATTCCAGCGATGAATATGAAGACGAAGACGACGTTGATTTATTCTCTCGAATCCGTTCCCGCAGGGCAGGCCAGCGGCGAAGACCCGGTTCACCGAGTATAAAAACGGAGATCAAGACGGAGGATAGCCAAAGTGCCACCTCATTGCACGAAATACCGTTTCTCTGAAACCACACCGCATCTGGATAGACCCGACTCCATACACAAAACAAGCTCGCTAAAATACAACACAAAAAACAACCTCAAAAAAACAACGCTTCTCGAATATCGTCAACACAAACCCACTCACTCAACTGCCTCGCCCACCCCCTAGGCCTTGGCCTGGAACGGAGTCTCATACGGCCTCTCAGCCTGGGGGGTGATTCTGGCCAAATGCCTCCTCTGGCCGTCCTTCCAGTCCACGAGGGCGGAGTGTTGAGTAACTCTGTTATCCCAAACCACTACAGTGTCCTAGAAGGGAATTAGCAATCATTCATTAATGAACAACAAGATCAAAAGAGCAATTACCTCCTCCCACTTGATGCGGGCTTGGAAGTCGGCACCATAGGCAAGATGGTCGTATAGGAACTTCAGAAGGGTATCAGACTCCTCCTTCTTGAGACCGACAATCTCACGGGTGACTGCGGGAGCGTGGTGTGCAGGTTAGCTTCTGTCTGGAACGTGTTGTCGATCTCCTCTAGGCGGTGAGAGCAGCCGGGAGCAGGAGGGCGACTTACACTGAGGGTTGACATAGATCGCCTTCTCGCCTGTGGCGGGGTGTGTCCTGATGATGGGATGCTCGTTCACAACAGGTTCACGTCTCTTGATGCCACCTCTGGCAGCCGCCGAGTTGACCTGCTCGATGCCAGAGTGGGTGGCCTTGAGGCCGTGCAGACGCTCCTGGAACAGGGGGCTGAGGCGGTTATAGGCCTCCACGGCATCGACGAAGAGGGTGTCACCACCGGTCTCGGGCTTCTCGAGGATGTATAGGAACGTGGTTCCAGGGGGTTGCTGCTCGTACGAGACGTCGCTGTGCCAGGCGACTGAGGAGGTCTGGTTATGTTAGGCGGACCCTTCCACTGAAAAAGCTAGGCGAAGGAGGGCTTACTCGGTTGGCGAAGAAGAGGTCGACGCTGTTGTCACCGGCGCTACGATGGACCAAGTGGATCTCGGGGAAGCCTTCAGGAGAGCCTGATGTGGGATGAATGTGATGACTGTTCCCAATATCATCAGTCAGCTTACCTTCTCGGGCCGAAGCATGATTGGGAGATGTGCAACACGTACCGACCAAAGTATTCGCCAACCTTGAGGGCCTCCTCGATGGGCAAATCCGCGAAATCCTGTTGTCTGAAGGCGACAACCTTGCGCTCCGCGATGAACCGAGCAAGCTCGTCCTTGCCGGCGCTGGTCAAGGCGCTGAGCTGGATGCCCTTTACCTCAGTGCCAATGGTGGGAGTGAGGTGAGTTACGGTTGTGCCCTCTGGGAGGAGGTTCTTGTATGAGGTGTCGGCATCCTTGCCGTGCTCGTAGTGCTCGAAAGGCTCCAACGCAGGATACTTTTGCTCTGGGTTCCAGGTGGGGAGGTAATGGGGATACTGCACAACATGATCGAGTCAACAACTTCCTTCATGAAACAGCCATATTTACCCATCTATGCCGTCCGCAGGATTTGATAGTTCGTACCTTGGCAGCCTGGAAGCCTTCCTTCCCAGCCAACTCGGCCTCTTTGTCGAAGGCGACAGGGGCGAGCTCCTTGTAGACGCCTCTATGGTGCGCAGACTGGAGCTTCGCGGGGTTCACCTCAGGAACCGGAACGGTGATGGTCTCGACGGCGGAAGGGGCCATATTGTGGAGGGTTAACTTTGTCTGATGTTGTTGGTTGGTGTGGTGCGCAGTGAGTAGTTTCCTTATGCCAGTCAGGACGGGTGCCGATTTCCTTTTATACAGCTCACCATGGCCTTAGCATCCGTATTTTCGAGCTGTTGACTGAAAGGACGTCGGTTCAGCGTTTGCGGGGTTGATTGAAGATGTCCATGATGAGGTGCATGGATGATATTGCGTGAGGGAGCTATGTCCCAATCAAGGGTGTTGCTGATTATGAGCAATGCATACACGGCTTTCTATTATGGGCCGTTGCTTCAACTCTATGCGATCCGGTGCCCGATCCGGTGCCTTCTTGGAGGATATGGGCGGCTACTGAGTGGTGGTAGGGTGTGTGTGTGTGTGGGGGGTG